AAAGGATGTATGAAAAAGTAAGCCAATTTTGTTCTTTCTTTCAAAAATAGGATTCACTGTTCACCCATTCCTGTTAAACACCACCTTCTAGTTATCTGCTGGCTGGGGACAGCTCTGGTCTGGTAACCTAAACCCAAGACTGTGATAAGGTGAGGGGGCTGGGGCTTTTCATTGCTCCCTTCCCTCCTGATACTTGGCAGTGTCTGGGCTTCTTCCCTGTGCACTGAACACTTGCTGCTGCTTTGCTGGCTAAGAGCTGCCTCAGGTAAAAGTAAATTAAGCAACTGCTCAAGGCAGTAGCTGTGAAGACAAAGATCCACATCCTCACTTGCTGAGGTACCTGTGTCCTGCCTGTGGGAAACCTGGTTTAGGGCATGTCCCCAAAAGATGGGGTTGGTTGGGTGTGGACAGGTGGGCATGACTGCTCTTGAGGGAATGACGGACAGAAGAGGGGAAAGCTGTTGCAGGTGGACAGCAAATTTGATGGTGTCATCTCCCTGCTGGGCAGCAGGTCTCCTCCCTTCCCCAGCTGAGGGATGAAGGTCCTTCTGGTGTCTGGTGATGCTTTGATCTCCTGCTGGTGCCCCTGCTTTAGGCCTTGGTTCTCTCCCATCATAGATGTTCTGAGGTTTGGCATACAGAGGATTTGTCCTCACCTTTGAGCAATGAAATACTATTTTGTCTCCAGTGTTAAGAAATCTTGATCCCCTATGGTGAGGGGCATAAACCACAGCCTCTTTAGTTTACTGAGGAAAGGCTGGAAGACAATTCAGTTGTGGTGGGACAAACAATATGGTACCATGAAGCTCTTGAACTTGTTGGTATGAAATGCAGATATTGGAGCAATGGAAAATGCAACACCAGAGAAATGGGACAGCTTGCCTTTTGAAATGCTTCAGTTTGTTGCTGAACAAAATGCAGCAGTTGAGCAGTTAGGGTTTCATGGGTTAAGTCAAAAATAGCCATTGCTTAAATTCTTAATGTCAACAAGCATATATCTAGGTTTGGTGTGGATTTTCTTTCATTTACTTTAATGTTTTGTAATAAGCTGGTTCCTAAATAACTTATTTACTGTATGTTCTTGTGTTGGATAAAGACCTTGTTACAGCAGATGTGGGGTGCTGCCTTTCAAAGGGTACTTTGAGCCACATACTGTTCTAACTATATCATTTGTTTGTCAAATGTCCATCGGAGGTATTAAAGGACAGAAGAATGACTTCTTGCTTTTGACTGCAAGGTAGCTAGTTGTCTCACTGAAGGGAAACACGGACAATATTTACTAGCTCCAGTGTTGCTTTGTGTCCTTTTCTGTTGTCCTCAACTATCTAGGTGACGCTTGACCTGCTGAAGGAAGGACTTACAGAACGGATATTTCTCACTGGGTGTTGGATGCCAGTGAGTGCCGTTATTTGGTGGAATGGGCAACTTCTGCAGTGCTGTGCTGCCTCCAGGTGGCTTTTCAGTTTATTTCCAAAAATACTGTACAGGAACAAAAAATCACTTTGTGTAATACAACTAAATAGTGTGTTTCTGCTTTTCCGTTTGTGCCTTTATGATGGCCACAGCGGCAAGCATCAGCAGTGCTGGCAGAGGTGCCTGGGACGTCTGCCCTCCTCCCACAAAGCTGGGGACAAGTTTCTGCCCTGCCAGGCCAGCTGCCTACTGCCACCTGTCCCTTGGACAGTAGCTATTTTTTCCCCTCATCTCCCTTCAAGGTCCATGCCTCCTGCCTTTAGCTCCTGGAGCTCTGCCCGGGTGGATTGGGTGCCCATGGCTGACTGTCCCCAGCCCTTACATGCCTGTTCTGGCTAGCATGGGGCAGTGACATGCCCTGATCCCTGCCACCTGGGTGGGTAACTGGTGCATGATGAGCCTGCTCAGGCATGGAGTCTGTTTGCTTCTTTCAGCCCCTGGCTGCTATTTTCATAAGCTGTTACTCCACACCCCAGTGAAGATGTGACCCTTCTCAGCATGGATGTATAAAAACTCCACAGTCATCACCGGATAAAATTAGCATTTCCCTTAACAGTGGGGCCACCCTGGCATCCTGGGGGTGCTGAAACCATCAGGACTGCACCTCAGTCCAGTGAGCACTGCACCGGTGATGTGCCTAGCATGCGAGGTTGCGCACAGGTAGTGCAGACCCCCAGTGACACAGCCTGGGGAAGGGCTGTGGGTACAGTGGGGGCAGGGATGGAGGTGTTCCCAGGAAGGCTGACTGGGGCCACCAGTTCCTGTTAGTGTCCCTAGGCCAGGACATGCATAGGCAACTGTCCTCTGTGACCCAGGAGTCCTCAGCTATCATGTGCTAAATGTGTCTCAGTCAGGCTTGGTATGAGGGCCATTTAGACAATCATTTGGGAGAGCTGCATGTAGTTCATGAAAATGATACACAAATTACCACCACACAGAACAGCTGTAGTTAAAACTTAAGGCAGCAATGGTGTGAGGGAGGTGGGAAGTGTCCCTGCTTGTACGTATGGGTGACTGGCAGGAGTGGCACCACAGATGGTAGAAGAAAGTGCTCTGTGTTTTAAAACTTCAGGAGTGTGGGCTATTCCAGGAGCAGCAGAGAATTTAAATCATAGACATGAAACAAATGGAACAATTGATATGTAAATGTAAAAAGCTTTTAGTGTTCTTGCATTTCACTGACAAAATGTCCCAGTTGAGAGTTATCTTTCCAGTGTAATATGAGGCACTTCTGAACTCCTGCGTTAGGGCTGTGCACTAACCCTGAGTCCAAAGACCGCAGTTCAGATACTGAACCTGCACTAACAGACAAGGAAAAAGAATTATTTTGCAATAAGTCAGATAATAATTTTATCTCAATTGCTCACTTTTTTCTTTCTCTAGAAATAGACCCTAGTGACAGCGCAGCTTTAAATGTGGATAAGAGGATTGTACTACAGCTTTTGACCAATCGTTTGTTTAGGTCTTATATATTGGACTGTATTATTATTAAGGGCTGAATCACAACCAGGTTGTACTTAATTATTTCCCATTTAGGTGAGACAATACTGTTTTTGCTAGACAGCCTTGCAAATGCTTTCTGCTTTGAAGAGGTTTATTTCCTAGTGTGTTTTCCTAAAATAAGCAGTTTTCTAGGGGTCTGCTTAAGCAGAACTTGGCTGACCTGGATGATTCATTCACAGTAATGCTGCAGGAGTCCAGTATGTGGAAATGATGTAATAGGAGTGGAAGTTGGTGAAGAGATATTGCTGTTATGAACAGATGTAAGTTAAAAGACCAAGTATTTCTTTCCATTGCTTTAGTCCACTCAAGTTTACATTAATTTCTTGTTTTGTTTTGGGTTTTTTTTTTCCCCCGTTTTTTTGTTGGTTTTTTTTTTTTTGTTTGTTTGGGGTTTTTTTGTTTGGTTTTTTGCTTGGTTGGTTGGTTTGTTTTGTTGGTTTTTTTTCTTTTTTTTTCTTTTCTGAAACACCATATAGCTTGGAATACATGAAAATGAAGAAGGAGGGCATGCTGTGTGACTGTTTTTGCTACTGAATCACAGGATGGTTGAGGCTGGAAGAGACCTCTGGGTGATTATGAACTGTAGAAAAGAGAAGATGGGGTTTGCTGATCTGCATGTCCAGCCCTGTGTGCACACACATTTTTGTGTGCATATCTGCTGGGAATGCAGATTCAGCCTTGCTACTGCTTGGACCCGGAGCATGAAGCCATGGCATCCTTGCCTCCCTGGGTTCCTCTGCCATACCCAGCACCTCGCACTGGCCTCTGGGAGGGGCAAAGTGACCACGGAGGTCTCTTGTTTTTGTTGGAGTGGTGTAAAGAACATTGGACTATGACTGGATGTTGTGTTACAGAAGGAGTGACGAGAAAGAGCAGGGTGGCCCAACCTGGGCTGAGGAGGAATAGCATAGCTGGATTTTTAAAACACTTAAATATTTTGGAGGTGCCTAGAACTCCAATAAAGAAAACGTTTGAAAGATTGACTAAGGCCTACTACTTCTCTGCGTTTGGGCTGGTGACTCACAGTTCATCTCTCAGTCTTCTGTGATGCTTCATGCTCTCTGGTTCTTCTATTGCTTCATCCCCAAGTGCTGCCAGTGTGAGAGAACAAGGTGGTGTTCTTTGCAGTTGGTAAAACTTCAGCAAAAGAAATAAGTCGAATTTTAATTGACCTTTTTACTTTATCATTTCATCTCTAAAGCAGGGTTGTGGTGCTGCAGCTCTTCTTTTTACCTTTCCTTCTCTATGTGTGCCTGTACTTGTAGTGTTTCCTTAGTGGCATTATCCGTTTGGGAGCCCACCCTGTGCAGAAGTGGGCGATGTATAGAAATCTTAATCCTGAGAATAATGGCAATTAAGTCTGATCTTTCACATTTCACAGAAGCCCTGCCCTACTTTTGTTTTTCCTGTCAAATCTGTTATACCACAATTGCATTGGTGTGTTAGTACGAGATGAAGGGTACACTCTGCTGAAGCAGGAGGTGCTTGTTACTGCCTGAGGAATGAGAGTGGGTTATGTGCTGCTGTGGTCTGATCCTGTTGGGTATTGCTGTAAGCTGGGCTGTGTTTGTGCAGCTGCAGTAATAAGTGGCAGCTAACAAGTCCTGACTATTCAATACATCTTTTTGCAGTTGAATGTCACGTTACTGCAGCCCTTGGTTCGCTGGCCACTTTGCTTATTTTTTCAATTGCTGCTTTCCTCCTGAGCCTTCATGCTGGCTGTTGTTGCCAAATGCATGAAATGGGGTGAAGAGGGTGGAGGACCCTCGGTGTTTAATCTGGGATGGAAGTGCCAAGAAAGCTCCAAGTTGCTGAATGCCTTGCTTGAAAGCACATGTTTTCTCTGGAGCTGCACAGTGGAGTAACTTCTGTCCTGGGTGATCCGATGAGAAATCATGACCTGGCTGCGACCCAAACAAAGCACGGGATTAACTTTGCCCTATGCGTGTGTGCTGGCTTGTAGCTCTTAAAAGTCAGTGAGAGGGCTTAGTCCAGTTGGTCTGGGAGGAGCTGTGCCTGTAGACATGGGATCCAAGCTGCTGTGCCTCTTCCTCGCCTCTGTCATCCTTGCTTACTACATTTACAGTCCCATCCCAGAGGACTTTGACGAGCCCTGGAAAGTGATGCTCATTGCAGCTAGCTTCAGGACCATTGAGCACCTGGTGAGTTTGGTGCTGAGCTAGGGGGAGAGATCTATGGAGCAGAGGGCATTC